CTTTCCAGAATGATCCCTGAAAGGGGGCGCGCCTTGCTGACACCAGAGCGATCCTGCCCTCAGTCTACTGTTTAAAACCCCCTATCCCTCCTCACGTGTGGTGCCGGGGCGTCCTTAATTAAAGGTGTTGGCCATTCTTAGTGGCTAAGTTCAGGCACATGTTGCTGGTGCCTAGTGTGCACGTCCGGCTTTACCTTCACCCTTATGTACATGACATTAGTCTGAGTATTCCTGCTTTGGTTTGTCACTGTAGGTGTCTAATGTGTGCCTGATTTCTTTCAACCCCCTTTATTGTGGCATGACCAGTTAATTTTCATTTAGTGTAGGCATTTGATGGAGACAACACTCCTCAGCTCTCATTTTCCCACCTGTCAGTTAAAAATTAAACCATTAGCTGCAAGGTAGGCAGTTGGAAAAGACAAGCCACATCCCAGGACAAAGAAAAGGCTTTTGATTCTTGTCCGTGTTACAGTCTTGGACAGCCACAGGGGCAGTTTTGTCCATTCCCACAGGGTCGCTCTAATCAGAATGCATTTGATGTCAGTGAATTGGGTTTGGGGATTTGCTTGTGGATGACATGCCTCCTTCAATACTCAGTGATTTCTCATTTCCCTTGGGAATCACTCCTTACCATCAATTGTTTGTATGTTCTGAGATAGAAATTACACCTTTTTATTTATTTTTCAACTCTACATATGTATTCAGTGTCCAGTCTTCATTTGTTTAAAAGATCATTGTTTACCATATATCCACAATTCCGAATCATAGATTCCATTGTCCATGGCATATATGTTGAATCCCTAAATAAAGGACCAGTCAGCAGTATTGTGGATTGGTGTGAAGAAGAGACGCAGGAATAGCAATAGCAATAATAGCATCTAGACTTATTGGTGATGTGCCACTCACTGTGTATTTTCCCATCAGCCTTCAGGTTTTGAATCTCCATCCATAAGAGGATCACTGGGAGGAAGGAAGAAGAGGTGCCTGGTTTGGGGACTATTTTGACAGAAGTCTGAACAAAATTGGTGCTGATCCAGTAAACACAGAGACAGAGCATCTCTGCTTCTGGCAGTGTCCTAAGGAACAAAGAAAATGATCAATGCTCAGGTGACTTTTGGCTTGTTTTGTGTTTTGCGTGTTAGTCTGGGTACTTTAGAGACACAAATGCACACAACTCATGTATAAGAGAGAGTTTTATATAAAGGTTAAGTGCACATCAAGAAAACATCCCAACCCAGTGCTGCCCATACCCAGAAGTCCATTGGCCTATAAGTCTGACACCAATCCACAAATTCCTCCTCTGTCTCACAAAACGGACTCAATGATGCCGACTGCAGGAGGAAAACTGAGTCAGTGAATGTGTAAGCGTGTCAGTGCTGGCAAGGGTCTTCACACGGCTATTCCAGTACCCAGGGCTTCATCAGGGTAGCTCCATGAGGCTTCTCAGGGATGTCTTGCAGGAAGTGAGCTTTCCCAGCTGAAGCAGGGAACTGGCTAAGGCAGATGCACCCTGGTCAAACCATCACAAAACAAAGAGACCCGAGAACTGGAAACATGAAGCTCACAGAGCCATTTTCTCTCCACCCTTCAATTAACCCCACATGTGTTTATAGGTCAGGTTGGCACAGTAACTACCTCACTACTGGATTTGTAGCACCCTGATGCCAATTCAGTTTGTCAGAAAAATGCACCTCTGTAGAAGTAGAAGCAGGAGAGAAATAAACTTTCACTCAGACCTCAACATCAGCTGTGTTTAAGATCAGGAGTAACAGTGATTATGAGAGGAGCATCAAACTTGTCTGAATAAGTTTCTAAAGGTCATGTTACGTAAAATCGTGAAGAGCAACATTCTCATAGATCAGCGGTTCTCAAATGTGGTGGGTTGTGAGCCCTTTGGGGGTCGAACGACTATTTCACAGGGATCCCCTATTCATAACATTAGCAAAATTACACTTAAGAACTAGCAACCACAACATGAGGAACTGTATTAAAGTGTCGCAGCATTAGGAAGGTTGAGAACCGCTTTCATAGATGTATCAGCCAAACTATTAGTAATAGTAGTTTAATTAAAAATGGCAGATGGATTGGAACACGTTTCAGGTAGAGAGGTAGGAAAGAGAATCCCTATCCACCTCAGGCCCAAACTATAGACGTGTCAAGTAAATGAGTCTCTAGGATGTCGAAACTGGCAATCCCAAATCCATAGCGTAGATAGATACCAGTCTGGAGGATTCTCTGCACTGCTTCGTTAGCAAAGGCTGATGGACCCAGGTGATCAGTTCAGATAGCCTATTGCTGCCTAAGAAGGTGAACTTGGTAAATCAAGTGCAATGCTAGATTGCTGTTGCGATGGCTGAAGACCCCAAAGTGGGCAAGACAGCAGGCTGCTGGCTCACAATGCTGTTGTTGTTAGGTGCCACAGAATTTGTCCAGTACGTTGTGACCCTATGTACAATGGAACAATCCTATATTTGAGCCCATTCCTGCAGAATGGTTCCGGCACTATTCTTGCTTGGTTCTGGCACAGTCTGGTCCTAAAAGTAACATCCTGGCTTTTTTTAATACTCTAAAGCATAGGTTCTCAACCTTCCCAATTCCGTGACCCTTTAATACAGTTCCTCATGTTGTGGTGACCTCCAACCATAAAATTGTTTTCGTTGCTACTTCATAACTGTAATTTTGCTACTGTTATGAATAGCAGTGTAAATATCTGATATGCAGGAGTTATTTTCATTGTTACAAATTGAACATACTTAAACGTAAAGCATAGTGATAATCAGAAAACAATAAGTAATTGCATATTGTGAAATATTTGTGTTTTCCAATGGTCTTAGGCCACCCCTGTGAAAGGGTCATTCAGCCCCCAAAGGGTTGCCCCCCACAGGTTGAGAACCGCTGCTCTAAAGGGTTCATGCAATAGTTCTTTGAATCTCTTGCCTGCTGCTTTCATATTAATGGACAATTAAAGAACACAACAAAACAGACAATTCTGTTTCCTTGAAAGTGTTGGCTTCTTAGGCCCACACAGCCACTTCCCTGCCTTAGCAAGTGTAGGATGCTCACAGCGGCCAAGCCAATGGCTGCAGAAGCAGAAAAGGCCCTGTGGCAGAGCCAGTGGTGACCGATGGCCAATAGGAACTTGTAATTGGAAGGTTTTTTAAGATGACCAAGAACTAACTGACTTGCTGTGGACAAGAGTGCTCTGCCCTGAGAAGGGAGACCCCTGCTCCATGATGTTTTTGTTTTTTAATAAATTGATCTTCATTCAAAACTCAAATCATTCCATATTTCAGTCATGTCCAGCTTAATTGAACATCGGCTACCACAATCCATGCCCAAACATTCTTTTTCTACATTGACCCCTTCACAGCATCACCCCTTCTCCCCACTGACACCTCCTTCCCCCCCTCCCACCAAAACCCTTATTCCATTTGCTGACTTTATAAGTTCATCAGTCCTGGTTTTCCTGTCTCCAAAAATTAAAAAAAAATCAGAACTTAAAGAATGGAACCCCCCCCAATGACATAGTACTCCAGAGATACCCCAGAATATGTGCAATCAAAAACCAAAGAATACAACAGCCCGAACACAAGATTTTTTAAAACAGATCAGGTCCGGCGTGCATCCTAGGGAGAATCTGCTGACAATGTTCAACTGTTCCAGTCAAGTGTCTGCCCTAGACAGTCTGTACCCAACTTATCAGTGCGCTCCCTCCAATGACCGCTCTCCTCCTGTCCCTCAGTTGTGGAAAGAGGGAGTTGACCAGAGGTTTGTTTCCTGTATATTTCTACCTGTGAATCTTGGGGTCCCAATGTCATCCTTGCACTTCTACAAACAAGATTCTCAGACTTTAGTCTCTGATCCCAATCCCTCCCTTCGACTTTGGATTGTATCCTTCACTGTCCTTTGGTGGTTGATGATGGTGCGCTGCTTCTTCCTTGTGGACTCGACGTCTCACTTAGATGGCTGCTTGTTTCGAGACGAGCCTTTCATATCCACGGGCGAGTTTATCTGATACTGCGGCACCATCTCATTTCTTCAACACAGGTCATTATAGCACCCGCCTCCTCCGTGTTCCCTTCCCAGAGGCGAGGACCGAGCAGGCCCATGATGTGCATGCTTTCTGATGCTAGTCTTGAGCATTAACCCCGTGTTCCTGACCCAGGTTTCATCTGGGCCATAGCAGTGGATTAGCACACCCGGAGGAGAGGGAGAGTGCTGTGTGAGGAATGACTCGTTTAAGAACTGTGTTAGTCTGTTACATTAGAAAAACAAATCCACAGAACCTCATGTATAAGAGTTTTATATAAAGAGTAAGTGCATATCAAGAAAATATCCCAACACAGTGCTGCCCAATCCCACAAGTCCAATATTAACCCATATGTCTAACACCAATCCACCAAGTCCTCCTCCAGCTCACAGAATAAACATGATGTCGACTGCAGTGAATATGTAAGCATTTCAATGCTGGTAGGGGTCTCCACACGGCTGCTCCAGCACCCAGAGCTGCATCGGGGTAGGTCCATGCGGCTTCTCGGGAATGTCTTGCATGAAATGAGCCTTGCCAGGTGAAGCAGGGAACTTCTAAGGCAGCTGCACCCTGGTCCGTCCATCACAAAGCGAGAGACCCGAGAGCTAGAATGGTGAGGCTCATTGAGCCATTTTCTGTCTGCCATTCAGTTAACCCCACATGTCTATCAGGCAGGTTGGCACAATAAACAGCCACTTTGGCACAACTAACTGAAGGACTGACAAAGTAGGTTGAAGAATTGAGATGACTGTGAGCTCCACCTCATAGCAATAACCCTGAATTGACCCTGAGAGTTAGCACCAATGACCTTACAAAGGTTCTGATCATGTGGGTCCTGGTAATTCTCCCATCTACTTTTCACCATGTACTGTTAGCCTTGTCTGTGCTATAACATGTAAGTACTTGTGTCACATGTGTGAGTGTACTGGGCACACTTTCACTGTCACGGGGTTTTGCATTTATTAATAGATATTTGAAAACAAATACACAAAATCAGGCCTAGGTGTATGGATACCACGTTTTTGACGAGAACTGAGCACTAAAATTTCCTTTACATTTCTTTCATATCATCACATGAAAAGTATTCATTTGTTCCTTTGTGGGATACAAATAAGCTTTTCCCCAGATTGTCTCCCTCAAACCTATCTCAGACCTAGGACACGGCTTGCCACACATGGTCAATGATTGTAGCACACTCAGAAGCGAGCTTCTTAGAAGTTACCTCCCTGAAGGCATCAGCATCCAGAGCAATCAGACTATTGTCTGTTGCACCATCAGTGGAGCTGACACCCTACTGATAAGGATAGTGATGGTTTCCATGGAGAGCCCAGAAAATAAGTCAGTCCAGCCCAAGGACAACCAAGATTAGGTTGCCTTCCTGAATCTCGGACCGGCCCATCTTGTCACATGTGTACCCCTTATCACTCCTCTTCCTATTGCTTGTACACCCCTAGATCGTGACCCTCCCATGGCTGTTTTGCCTATGGAACAACCCCTTCCTGTGACACGTGTTTACCTGTAATTAGGTGGGCTTGCGTCCTCCGAAGGATATGTAAGCCTTGGTCAGAGATAAACCCTCTCTCCTCCGACCCTCTTCCAGGACCTGCTGCTGAGACCCTGGCCATCCCGGAGATGAGCATGCTACCATTAAATGTGCCTGACTTCTTTATATATTACCGCCGTACAGTTGTGCCTATAGACCCGTGATATTGTCAGAGGCTGGTTACTCTGACCTTCATTGAATACAATCCTTTTACAGAACTCAGTGACACCCAGCGATGTGGCTATAAAGTTCACCTGGGAGGAGTGGCAGCTTCTGGACCCTGCTCAGAAGACCCTCTATCAGGATGTGATGTTGGAGACCTACCGCCACCTGGTTTCCATCGGTGAGGAGCGCTCTCTAGTGATTGGCTTGTCTTTGTCTCTCTCTTTGTTTGGGGCTATGGTGCTCTCCAAGTGGCAGATTTGTTTTCAGAAATCTAAAGTCAAGGCTGGTGTGTCTAAGATTCTGTGATTTCTCACGGACAGGTTATGAAGTTAGCAAACCTGATGCGTTCTCTTGGATGGAACGAGGAGAACCACCAGGATTCGTATTAGAAAAAAGCTGTGGTGGGATGTGTTCAGGTGAGTGAGCCAAAAGCACTCATGGGGAATGATTGTGTGTTGGTGTGAGGGGGTCTCCAACATGTGACTGTTTCCTCAGGATGGAGTTTGCGATTGGGAAAAAAAGACAGACAGCAGAGTACAGTGGCTCCTCATCCCACGTCAGCACTGAGAGAGAGAATGTATTTTCCAATGGGTCTATGTAACGGGGCTTACAGACCTTTGATAAGGCATGCACGTCATACAGCTACCATAGTACATAGTCAATGTGTAATATCATAAGCACGTAACTTAATAAACAAGCAGTGACATGAGTAATCATCCTGACCTTGAGCTAATTGACCTCAAACCTCCCAAGGACCCTCCCCAGGGGGTTGCTACATTTATGGTGGGCGGTCTACAGAGCCTGATTATTCGTATTGACTGATAACCTGCAGGCACAGAGACTAGCCAGCCCCATGAAGGCTTCATCGTATATGGTAGCTCCTCAATGGAAGGTCCTTCGTGGGTGCTTACTGGAGGGACTGTGGCCAGTCATGAGAATGTCTATTAAGACCTACTTATATCTCATAACTGTGAGGGTCTTCCCCCATCAGAGTTGGCCTTCCAGACCCGTAATAACGAGCACGGATTAGTTAGCTGCATTACATTCTGATCCAGTCCCTCTGTTTACCACAAATCCCCCTTTTATATTGTGTTTCAAATTGGAAAGGGCTCCATAGGTGGTCTGCATTGCCTCCAGGAGCCGAAGCTTCCTGCAGACACAGCGATCTGTTACAAAGACCAAAAGGATGACTGGAAGCAAAACAGTTGGCCCAGAGCTAAAGCTTTGGGATAGACTTTGGATCCAGGCTCGTGAACCCCAGTCCTCTGAATGAACTACCAATTGTTTGATGGCGTTTGTGCTAGTGCACGTTTTCAACTCTTCTTTCAATGTATTGAAGATCTCCTTCAGCTGTTTTATATCTAACTGTGGGTTACCAGCCCCCACAATCAAACAAGTCCAAGGGGGTGGTTGTGTCATTGAAGGATAACATTAAAGAGACGTGAGACAGAGTAAGGCATGCAATTGCTGGCCTGCCGGACAGCCATGATCTCAGCAGCCAGGTCCATGCAGAGAGAGTGAACATATTTCCAATGACAGCTTATATACAATTAGGGGACATGCAAGCCCCACTAATGACATGTGTAACAGGAAGGGGTTATACCCTACGCGTACATGCAATAGGAGAGGGAGGAGCTAGGGTTTTACATGGAATAGGAAGGACAGGGATGTGTACCCTAGGGATATACACGTGACAAGATGGGCGGACTCTAAACTCAAGACAGCAGTATAACCTTGGTTCTCCCTAAGTTGATTAATCCACTATCCTTAGCAGGGAGTGGTCCCCACCTAGGGTAGGAGAGACTATGGGGTCTGATTGCTCCAGATGACTTATAACCCTCTGGGAGATAACTTTTAAGGAGTTGAGCTCCGAGTATACAGCCATCGGTCATGTATACAAGCAGCATCTTAGGTTTAGCATACATTATGGGGGGACACCCTGAGGAATAATGTTTCTGTTTCTCACATCTAACGAGATGGTTCCCTTATAAACCTGCAAATGGTTTCTAATTGAGATCAGTCATGTAAGGTTTGATATGTGAATAAGGAGTTACACTGGATTTGTAATCTTCTAATAACATTTCAGCATCAATTGCTGTTGCAAGTAATTTTTTAATCACATTTTAGCATCAATTTCTGATGCGGTTCCATCATTTGGAAACAGTTTGTTGTCGCTCAGCCGTGCTGTCTTCCGTTTCCCGTCCACCTTTGTCTGGAGGCGTGTTTGACAGAATCTGAGCGTAGGGTTCTGGTGACAGTAGCTGTGGTGGGCCAGTCCTGGGTCTTAGAAAGGCAGCAGTGGCTTTCCTCATGAATCCGCGAGGTTTCCGACCACGTCTGCTGCAGCGGGCTCGGTCTTTCCGATCTCTCTGATAACGAGTGCTCTGGGAGGCAAGTTCTCTGGTCACCTTTGTGTCCCCTGTGCCTTGTCCTCTGCTCCTGGGCCACCGCTCTGAAGAACGCTTCACTTGCGTTCTCTTTCACCTGGGAAGACGGAACCAAACAGCGCTTCCCTTTAGGCTGTGAAAACCTGGAGACCAAATTTTTGTTAGGGGACTCTGATGTTTTGTCTTTTCCGTGGCTGCATTTGCTGGGGAGCTTCCTCTCCTCTCTTACCCTATGCAAACATAAACAGCCCCTCGCTTTGGGCTGTTAGCAAACCGGGATCCCAACTGTGATCTTTCGTCTTTCTTTTTTTTTTAAACATTTTATTAGGGGCTCATACAACTGTTATCCCAATCCATACACACATCAATTGTGTAGATCTTTCGTCTTTCCACCAAACCTTTTCCTGCAGAGACAGAGAATCTATTTCCCACCAAGGCTTATATACACTTTAGGGGCATGCAAGCCCCCCAATTACAGGTGGCCACATACTTAACACAGTGGGCTGTCCCCTAACCCTGAAGTTCCATGACTACATAGGAGTGACCTAACATCAGTGTCCTGGGCAGCTATGGGGCAGTGCCAGTCTTCAGAGCCTAGAGGGCAGTAGCATGTGTGTGCCTCTATAGTAAAGTTGCCAAATAGATAGTAATCAGCCATGTGCTTCAAAGGGGTAGCCATAAGGTAGCACTATTATCGGAGGGTATAGTGGGGAATAGTATTAATTATGAGAATGAATAGGTGGAGGCCTCCCTCCTCCGCAGAAACCCAGCCTGCCAGGATTCTTATTGCTATGTGAGGATAGAGGGTTCTTCTGTATACACTCTCTTCTTTGCTTCCCACACTCTAGTGCTGAGAGTGTACACAGAGAAGGCCCACAGGCTCTCTCTCCACTGAGCCAGCGAGTTTCCTGATGGGAGGCACTCAGCTGTTTCCCTTCAGGAATCCGGCCCCTCTGACTCAGGGTCTGGATGAGGCTGCGTCTCTGCCACGTCTTTGGGGTCACAGCTCTGTCTTGTGGGTCAGGGAGGGTCCACAGGCTTGGATTTGCACTCACTTCATTTTTGTTACCTAACTTTGTTTCTATATTATCAACTTTTACTTTTCCATTTGTGTACATCATGGGCAAGTAACATTTAACGTGGTATATTATTTGTATTCCTGTACTTGTGACTGAAGATGTAACTTAGATGGATGCAGTTTCTGAAATGACATTATGGGAAATCAACCTGAGGGAAAGACTCATTATTCCCATCTTTCCTAGAAATCTGGAAAGGCCATGGCCATTCCCGTGGATGCACACAGCAAGAAAGAAGAGTGGACGGAATGGAACAGTGCTGCGAATATGAGGCCTTGGAAAGGGATCATCAGCGCCAAAAGAGTTTTTCGATCGTGAAAAATCATGGGACATTTGACTCACGTGAAGAAAGTGTGAAACCGATTTTAACTTTCCATACAGTCAACCAGAGAAGACACAATAACATAAAGGAATCTGTTATGCTTAATGGAGGCGAGACGACCTTTCTCTCTGCTGACAACCAGCAATTTTGTGTTGAAATGAAATTCCCTGAGTGTAAAACATCTAATAGCATTAAATCACAATGCAGTAAGCATCAGAAACAGAACAATCCCAGTGCTCATCAGGGAATCCATAATGGAGAGAAACGCCATGTGTGCAGTTACTGTGGAAAAGGGCTTTCACAGAAGAGACAACTCGTCATCCATGAGGGAATCCATACAGGTGAGAAACCCTATACGTGTACTCAGTGTGGCAAAGGCTTCAACAGTAAACCTTCTCTCACCATTCATCAGCGAACTCATACAGGTGAGAAACCCTATACATGTAGTCTGTGTGACAAAGCCTTTACCAGTAAACAGGGCCTCAGCATTCATCAGCGAACTCATACTGGTGAGAAGCCCTATCTATGCAGTGAGTGTGGAAAAGCCTTCGCCTTGAAGAGTACTCTCAGAATCCATAAGCTGATTCACAATAAAGTAAAACCCCATATATGTACTGATTGTGGAAAAGGCTTCGTAGGGAAGACAAGGCTTATTCTCCATCAGCGAATTCATACTGGTGAGAAACCCTATACATGTGATCAGTGTGGAAAACGATTCACCAGGAAAGGTACTCTCAGTGAACATTACCGAACCCACAGTGGCGAGAAGCCCCACGTATGTAATGACTGTGGAAAAGGCTTTTTATGGAAGAGAATGCTTATTGTCCATCAGCGAACTCACACTGATGAGAAACCCCATATATGTTCTGATTGTGGAAAAACCTTATCAGGGAAGAAAAACCTTAAGATTCATCAACGAATTCATACTGGTGAGAAAACTCATGTATGTAGTGATTGTGGAAAATGCTTCTCAGGAAAGACAAGGCTTAAGATTCATCGACGAATTCATACTGGTGAGAAACCACATGTATGTGGTGAATGTGGCAAACGCTTTGCTCAGAAAGGAAATCTCCAAACTCATCTACGAATTCATACTGGAAGCAAACCCTATGTATGTGGTCAGTGTGGTAAAGCTTACAGCCAAAAGTCATCTCTTATAGCACATGAGAGATTTCACACAGGAAAGAATCCCTTTCTATGCAATCAGTGTGGAAAATCTTATACCCAGAAGTCAGTACTCAGTCAACATCTGAAAATTCACAAAGAGAAACCCTTTTACTGTAGTGAGTGCTACACAGCTTTCAGAACCAAGGAAGAGCTCGTGACTCATCAAGTATATCATCGAAGACAGTTATCATATACCTGCCATGAGTGCGGGCTAACTTTTACCTGTATTTCTACGTTTTCTTCACATAAGGAAACCCACAAAAGTAAAAATGCTTTAAATCCAGACACGGTGGGAAAGCTCTCCTCAGGGAGTCAGGTGTCCTCGCACACCAGCGATCTCATGCAGAAGGAACGCCCTGGCAAAAGAGTGACTTTGCAAGTTCCTTGTGTGGCTTCTGTGTCAGTGAACACCAGTGGGGTCCCCATGAATAAGAATGACGTTCTTGTGGGAGGGCCTTTGGCCAGAAAGGAATCAAGTGACAACTATGGATTTGTACAGCAGAGAATTCCTCAGAATACAGTGAATGTGGCAGTGCCTTTCAATCCCGGGACTGTGGTAGTTCCCCCAGGTGTCTAGTTACAGTTTAATTTTATAAGGGCAAACTGTGATACATTTTTATAAGGATAAACTGTGATACATTAATGGGACAAGAGAATAGAACAAAGTATCTCCATAATTATATGGCTACAAAGTGTATCCTGTGGCAAATCAGGAATCTAGAGGCTGGGAAATTCCACTAGATATGCACATATCAAAATTAATAATGTGAATTTCAAAATGAATGTGTAAATGCTATCTGGAATGTTGGTTCATGTTAGTTACTATTAAGTCAATTCTGACACATTGTATCCCCACTTGGTATAAATAAGAATTTACTTACAAGAGAAGCCCTACTGGGTCATAATATTGGATTGTTGGGATTATCCACACACTTTAGCTGAGTTTTCCCAGGTCAGTATAAAGGAGCAGTTCAAATGCAGAATTTCCACAGTGCGTTTTAGAAATTAATGATTAGAACAGGTTCAAAACAAAACAAAACAGGAAGACCGATGATCCAGTAGTCAGACTTCTAGTGCCGACTCGGGACTAAGGAATATTTATCACTCAGTGTCTTTGGACTTGGCCCTGTTTCCTGGCTCTGAGCTTGAAGTCATGAATGAACAAGAAACATACCAGACTTTATTGGACTTTATTTATTAATTAAGTAAATATTAAATATTTATTTAATATCCAGTATATTAAGTACACTGGAGTATATTTAAGTGGAATCTTCATAACCCCAGCTAATCAAGTGATAATGTGATATTTATATCAGTTTAAAGAGAAAAGGGAACATTGTGACAATGGCTTTGGGTCTGAGAAAATCAGTGTCATTACTGTTGAGTTGATTCCTAGTCCTGAGCGTCAAGCTGTATAATTAAACTATGAGGTTTCCGTGGCTGAGTTACCTGTAAATGCCTCACCAGGAATTTCTTTGCAGCTAAATCCAGGTGCACTCAAACCCCCAGCCTTTTAGGTCAGCAGAGGAATACATTAATTGTTTAAACCGTAAATGCCTTCCCTAAGGACTTCTTTGAAAGTACTGAACCATTCTAGAGAACACGGTTATATTTAAGAGTCCATGTCCTATCTCACCAAGGATTGATTATACATTCCTTCATAGTTTTAGTTACAATTTGGTTATAAGAGTTTCGGGGGGGAAAAAAAAAGAATTTCTGTATGTGATTATTGTTTTAGATAAAAGAATTTGGGAGATTTCCTCCCTTATCTCAAAGGTGTTCTCCTGTCCCTAGTTTATTGGTAAAACAACATGTGGACTGATCTCACGAGGTTTGCAATCCAGAAGTTTAATTACTTTTACCCTTGGATTCCCCATGGCATTTCATAGGTGTGTCAGTCTGGTTTGGCTAAAGAAACATCCAGTGATCCTCCTATGTGTCAGAGATATGTAGTTACATATATCATGCAAACATCGCAGCCCTGTCCAGATTAAGTCCATAAGCCCCTCTTCAGACTCACTCAGCATCATGCAATGATACAAAATGCAGGAAAACCACAGGCCAGTGGGTGTAAAATCTTGTGGATCCAGTGCGCACATTGCCAAGATCTGGCAGGTCCCAAGTTGGTGACTAGCAGGAAGGTGAAGTAGAGAAAGTTCATCCTTCAGAGAGCCATTTCCCTTGGTCAGACCACCCAAAGAAGTCAAGCTGCAACCTGATTGACCTGTATGTTACAGGTGCCACATTCACACTGAAAACTGCTATCACAGCATCAGCACCACCCACCAACTTAGCTATTGTACGCAAATTTTTTCCTTTAGACTTCCAAAGGGGTCATGACCCGCAGGTTGAGAACAGCTTGTCTTTTGGCTCTTCAGAAGTTTCCCGTCACCTTAGTGAGCCCTTCCCCTGGCATCCCAGCATGGGGTGGCTCTTGGAGTCTTTCCCAGGTGCTCTCATCCCAGGAACTCCTGTACACAATTTTTTAGCCACACATACTTTTAAAAACAACACAAGTAAAATTTGTACATAACAGGATAAAACTAAAGTGGAATTATAGAAAAACCCTTTATCTTCAAATTATTCGCTGGAAGTATAGAAAAACCCTTCAAATTGGAATTATAGAAAAACCCTTATCTTTAAATAATTCACTGTTATGCATAATGCATTTTTCATATTTGCAATTGCATTTTAAAAGTTATTGGAGAGCTCTTATTAATCATGTAACAATCCATCATTCTGTGCTATTAAGCACAGTTGTACATATGTTGACATCAACATTTCCAAAACAATTTCTTTGTACTTGAGCCGTTGGTGCAATTCCATTCATGGAAACATCTCTCAAACTCATGTGTTTGGATGCCTGACATAACATCCCTCCTTTTTTCTTTCACCTCTTTGTCATTGTCAAATTGCTGCCCGTTGATGCCCCTCTTCATTCACGGGAACAAAACGTCACATGGAGCGAGGTCAGGTGAGTAAGGGGCATGAGACAAGTGAGACATGTTTTTTGACAAAAGCTGGCATGCTGAGATGGCTGCCTGAGCAGCTGCATTGTGGTGGTGGCAAAACCAGACCCCCATCTGCCAAAAATCAGGCCTATTTTTGTTGCTACTGTTAACGCAATCTTTTCAGAACCTCTGAAAGACACCTCCGACCTAGTGGAAGGAACTCAAAGCGCTCAAGGGCTTTTGAGCCTTTTCTTGGTTAGTCAGACTTACTGCAGCAAGAACAAAGACTGGGCTTTTGCAAGTTCGGTTAGGTCTGGTCTCTTGCTGAGGCTGGTGATACCTGTGGTTGCTGATTAAGAATTCCTGAGCTGAGTTAGGTTTGAGCTGGGCCTCCCCTGCCTGCTGGGCAGGCTCTGGAGCAAGCTGTTTCCCATATCCCTGCTGCAAAGCAGTAGCCAACTGAACTCCCTCACTGTTGAATCTTGAGTAACAGTGGTTCACCCAGTGACTGCCCTTCTTGCAAGGAGGGCAAGGTCCAGGTTCTTGTGAACTTGACCTCGGTGGTCCTGGCCCGTGCTCTGACACTGGCTGCAGGACACTTGTGGCCAGGCTGATTGGCCTGTGCTGCCTGCACCCTTTGAAAATGACTGATCTTCACTCTTTGTAAATGACTGATCTTCCCACAGCTAAAATATATCCCATTAGGTGTGATGTGTTGACCATAGCAGTGGCTATGAGGTCTTCCTTGTATTCATGCACCCTTACATTCCTGCATATTCTGAGATAATCAAGGAGGAGCTCTGCTTCTTGGATAGGTGGATCCCAGATGGAGAGGAGGGGTCACATTTTCTCTCTTTTTAACCATTTTATTGGGAGTTCCTACAACTCTTGACAAGGGTTCACATTTTCATAGGCGAGCTAAACAATGAGATTTTCTGCTGCTTGGGTGTCATTCACACTTTGGCTAACTGCATCCTGTAATCAGGACACAAAGCCTATATAGGTCTCACCATTCTGCAGCCATATAGCAGTGTAACTGGGCCTTTTCTCTGCTGATGGGATTTTTCCCCCAAACCCACACTCAAAACATGCCTTACCTGTGAGAACGCTTGTTCAGTTGCCGGCAATTGTGCCTAAACTGTGATGAAATTACCCCTCCACATTAACTGATTTAACCCTTTGGGGATTCCTTGCTCTGCATCCCATTATGAGCTTGTGTCTCAGCTCCTTCTGGCCACCACATTAGTTACTGCAAAAAGTCTGAAGGGAGAAGCATAATTTAATCAAAACTCCAGTCAGCAGAGATCCAGCATTGAGACTCTGACAGAGACTTTATCATGCTAGTCACAAAAGGGCAGTCTAGGCCATAAGTACAGACCACTTGTGTGAGATCTTTCAGTAGCTTAAAGGGGAACATGCTGTTAAGTCATTCCTGAACTCCTCGTGGGTGTTGTGCTTCAGGCTGTGTGTTGATGACGTGAACAGAAAAAGCCATCCTAATTTCTAAATGTCCTTCCTGCACTGTACCTTTTTCTACTTGTGAAAGCAAAGGTGCCTTTGTACACTTTGCCTCTTTGCCTTGATTTTCTGCACTGGTTTTCTCCACTGAGTAGATTGCTAAACTCCACTTCCCGAACCTCATCTTCTGGGTTGGCTCTCTGGGATTGCCTTTCCTTGGGGCCAATCTCATATTCAGCTCCTGTGCTGGCTCGTTTTGTTGTTTTATGATCCCTAGACTTTTCTACTCTATAAGTTCCAGTGGGGAGCACAGGCTTTCAGTATGATGTCCACTTCTGATTGAAGCTCAGTTTTCTCAGTTCTGTCTAGAATCTTCGTATCTGTCTGATACTCATTCTGACTGCCATTCACCAGACTTACATTTGGATAGCTCAGAAGCTTCCCATTGCTCTGATCGCTCTGTAAGTATGGATAGCTCAGCTCAGACTTCCAGTGCTCTGCTAGTTTTGTACCTTAGCTTTCTCTACCTCCAGAGGTTCTGGAATTGTTTTAATCTGCACCCACAGAGCTCAGGTTTCCATGGGGATGCTCTGTCCTTTCCTGTGAGCGTTTCTTAGGTTAATAGATCCCATCCCCCAGATCTCCATATCAAATGTTCCTGACTCCAGAAAAGAAGGGTTAAATTTCTTTACCACACAAATAAACTGTTTCATCTTTTCACTCTTGACCAATTCATATTGTTTTTTCAAGAGGTGGCTAAGAACGATACAGTAATCTGTATCTCTGCTGTTCACCTGACCCATACCTCACTGGGTCTGAAAACACTCAAATGCCCCCTACTCACCCTCTCTGTCCTATGAGGCAATACAATTGTTACTCAGGGTATAATTCAAAAGAGTTATTTTCCTACTGCCCACTTCGAGTGCCATTTGTCAGAGGAAACCAGCTTCCACCAACCACAGGGCAATAGGTGCAATTGTATGACTATAATATATAAAAATTATAGGAAAATCACAGAGGATAGGAAAGATAGGAGAGAGCATACAATAAAGGAGTCACACTTTTTATGGTAACATGCTCACATTAGCTGTTTTTGATGGACTACGTGGAACTGGGAGAAGTGAGAGCTAGCATTTAATTACTTGGGATATGTTAGGTAGCCTAAAAAATGCATAATCCATAGGTAAATCCATCCCATATTGGGTGGTAAGTACCTGAGGTCCCTGAACTCAGAGGTGAGGAAACCTAATACCTGCACTGGGGGAAAGAGTGAGGTGGGTTGGGTATCTCGGAAGAGATAGCAGGATGTCTGCTTCTGTAGGGAGATTAAATCAACCATGTGCTCACTTTAAGGCAGCATACCTGTTAGGGGGAGAATCTGTAGGAAATTATATATATATCATATTTATGGGGGCTCCTACAACACTTCTCACAATCCATACATCCATCCATTGTGTCCAGCACATTTGTACATTTGTTGCCACCATCATTCTCAAAACATTTGCTTTCTACTTGAACCCTTGGTATCAACTCCTCATTTTTACCGTCCCTCCGTGCTCCCCCTCCTCATGAATCCATGATAATTCAAATTATTATTTTGTCATATCTTACACTGTATGATGTCTCCCTTCACCCATTTTTCTGTTATCTGTCCTCCAGAGAGGAGGTTATATGTAGATCCTTGTAATCAGTTTCTCCTTTCCACCCCAACTTCGCTCCACCATCCCAGTATCCCTATTCTCACCTCTGATCCTGAGGGGTTTATCTGTCCTGGATTCCGAGTGTTTCCAGTTCCTATCTGTACCAGTGTACATCCTCTAGTCTAGTCTGATTTGTAAGGTAGAATTGGGGTCATGATAGTTATGGGGTGGTGGGGGCGGAAGTATTTCAGAACTAGAGGAAAGTTGTATGTTTCATCATTGCTAAGCTGCATCCTGACTGGCTCATTTCCTCCTCACAACCCTTCTTGAAGAGGATGTCCAGTTGCCAACAGATGGGCTTTGGGTCCCCAATATGCACTCCCCCTCATTCACAATGACATGATTTTTTTCCTTGATGCCTGATACCTAATCCTTTCGACACCTCGTGTTCACACAGGCTGGTATGTTTCTTCCATGTGGACTTTGTTGTTTCTCAGCTAGATGGCTGCTTGTTTACCTTCAAGCCTTTAAGACCCCAGACACTATATCTTTTGATAGCCAGGCACCATAAGCTATTTCCACCACATTTGCTTATGCACCCATTTGTCTTCATCGATCATATGGGGAAGGTGAGTGCAAAATGATATGATTTTTTTTCTTCTTTGATGCCTGAATATAGCTCAGAGCAACCAAGCCCACATGGAGGAAGCACACCAGGCTGTGTGA